TCAGGCCAATGTGTACATCTCCAGTAAGTCAGATGCATTCACTAATCAAAGTGTACACAGGACACTATGTTTGAAGATTGTTTCCTGGGCCACTTTCTCTCTTCTGCCATATGCATTTGCAAATTATTTGATATGCCTGGATGAAGCAGATTAGCAAAGAATCTGGGCAAAAGCTATGCCCAATGACCAGACTGAGTCTGATCCAAGATGGCCAGTATAGAAGGCCAATGGTGATATCCTTTGCATAAAATAATAATTTGTATCCTCACACATTGCATGGGTCTGAATGTATTCCCCAAAAATTCCTATGTTGAAACTTTAATTCAATTTGATAGCACTTGGAGACGGGATTTATGAGAGGTAATTAGGTCATGAGGGTGGAGTCCTCAGGAATGGGATTAGTGCACTTATAAGTCAAAGCCAGAAAACTAGCTGGCTCTCTTTCTCCAGGGCCTTGTGAGGATACAATAAGAAGCTGCCAATCTGCAGAAGGAGGCCCTCACCAGAACCTGACCATACTGGTACCCTGAATTCTGACTTCCAGCCACCAGGCTATGGGAGAAAATTTCTGTAGTTTCTAAGCCATCCAGTGTATGGTCCTTTGTTACATCAGCTCCAACTAAGACAAGCATAAAGAGGGCTCACCTCAGCTTCATAACAGCAACAGGCTACTTGGATCCTCAACTTTCAGTCCCTTGTTCCTTTAAGTGTTGGTCTAAGTGCCAACTTCTCAATAAGATCAACAGTGACTAATTGGAATTGCAAAACCTTCTCCCTCCCACACTCCCAATTTTCTTAACCTGCCAGTTTTCTTCATTCAGATACTCTAGCCCTTTTGTGAGATGCCACATGGCTTACTGAATGACTCTGTATGTGTGTTAGTTGTTTGTTGTTCTACTTCCCTTCCTTTCCAACAACAACAACACACACAGGGAGATGCAATTGGAAAGGGCCATATCTTGCCTCTATTTACTAACTTACCAAACGTATTTAGGAGTTCCTGGCAAAGATGGAAGTAAAAAGTCACCCTGTATTGGTTCATGAATGAATCAATGACTCTGTGCTTAGGGCTGGAGAGTCCTCATTCAGTCCAAAATCAGTGCCTAACTCTGAAGCAACTACCATCTTTCCAGGCCTTGAGTTTCCTCATTAGAAAAATGGGGTACATGAGTCCCCACCTCTTAGGATCGTGGCGAAGATGAGTGAGGCAGTGCAAATCAAGTGCGTGGAATCGTGCCTTGACGTGGTAAATTCACAGTAAGTGTTAGCTGCCATCATTACTGTTGTTCCGATTGATTACCCAAAGTGGTGATGATTTCCAGTCTCAGGCAACTGGCCTGTCACCTGGCAGCATGGATCTAAGATGAGGAAAAGGCCCATGGGAGAGCAGAGGACTACTAGGGGTCAAAACCCAGGGTTAAGGCTTCACCAGCTCCAATCCAACAATATCCAGGCCTTTGCAAAGGAGCTGTTAACAGCATAAGTGCTCCTGCCTCGGACCTGCTGAAGTAGCATAAACATAACACTGAAACCACTGAGTAAGTGATGGTGAGGCTCAGAAACCTTAAAAGGCAGGGAAGGCAGCTCCCTCTTCCTACTGGAACTGAGATTTGTTTATTTGGCTTAACTGGAGTCAGAACTAATGGTTCTAATGGCTTGGAATCCCCCAACTCGTTCTCCAGATTTCTACATACGGACAGTAACTTATACTTTCTGAAAGATGATAAAGAAGAGAAAAAAATGGCCCTCCATAAAAGAAATTACCAGAACATACTAATCATTTAGACATTCGCTTATATTTCTAGAAAGCTAAAGATGGAGAATGGTATGGTTCCTTCCAGGAGCAAAATCCAAGTCTGCTTAAAGTCCATAAGAGGGAAGACTGCAAGCTGGACCATTAATCTGCACGTTCACTAAGGATTTAGAAAAACAAAACACTTTGGAAATATCCTTTGTCTCCTTACAAATACCTTTGATCTAGGGGAAAGTCAATGTTTAGGGATCTATGAGTTACAAAGGGAGCAGAGTCTCAGTGCAGACCATAAATGAGAAAGAGGGATGGCAGAAGGGGGAGGGATGCTTACTGATATTTTGCCAGTAAAAGTCTTAACTTCCCTATTAATTAGGACACATCTTTCCATGGTTAAGTTGTCTCTAAGTGGACCATTAAAGCATTATGAGGGCCAAATGAAACAAATGAGGGCACATTCAAGGAAGAGATGATGAAAATCATGTCACAAAGCAATTTCTCCCTTCACTTTACAGAAGAAAGGCCTCAAGAGTTAAAGCTGGAATTAAATTCCACACTCCCAAGTTGACGCTCTGTCCTCTGCACAAGAACTTCCCAAAGCTGTAACCAGTACATGATAAATGATTGGGCAAGTCCAGAAGGAACCCAAGGTTCTCCCTATGTGAGGCTGACTCTATTAACCCTTGAAATACACTGAATTGGAAACTTCTACCCCATTGCACCTGCTCAGGTAAACCTCAAAAATAACTTTTTAAAAATGAAGGTATTTTCCAAGAGCAGAAGGAAGTGAGATTACTGATAAATACTTAGTTTAAAGTTCTAACAATTCAACAATATTTGTAGTATTCAAAGGGCATTTGCCTGGTGCTGTCAACTACTATTAATTAGTAAATTGTATGTAACTTACAGATTTTTGGAGTACACAGGAACACCAATGTCATATAGTTAAGTAGTCTCACTGCAGTCTATTAATAGGCATTCATTGATAATCTCCTCTTATGATTGAAATATGTCATGCTGAAATTGCACTAAATCTGGAAAATGATCTTAATTCTCAGTTTCCTTCTATAGTAGAAATACTGTGTCCACGGATTACTTTCACTTTTTTTAAAAAAAATAACATTTTAAATAAGAAAAATGGTACCAATCCACCAAATTCCAACAGGCTTATTTACATAATTTTTATCATGCCATAACACAACACAACAAAGTTGACTATACCCAATTATATATAACTTCACTTAGAAGCAGCCACAGAATGGGGGGCAGTGTGAAAGGGAAGAAAATGTGATGTTACTTCTGCTTCTCTGTTCTTCCCTAGCTTGTCTATTGCAGAGGAATCTTGACACACTTGAAAGGAAGTGATGAAAACTAAACACATTGTGCCTCTCCAGCCAAAACTCAGAGTTGCATCCCAAAGCCTCCTATTGGTCCCCTCCAATCAGCTGAGCATCAGAGGTTTTTCCTATAAAAAGTCCACAGTGCATCTAAATCTGATCCCAGTAAAATTTGACTTCAGCTGAAGTGAAAATGCAGAGGTAGCATTTACGGGTAACAGCTGGGGAACATTAGTTCCCTGTCTCTCCTTTTCTCCCAAGGGTTGAAAACTCTGCTGTTCAGACAGGAAGTCGTCATATACCACACACTGCACAATACGAGAACGCTGGGAGGGAAGAACAAGTTGCTGAGGATTAGGAGAGCAGTGGCCGGGTTTTGTTCAGTAGTGACTCTAGATTCTTCTTGGGCTGCCCTTTTCTCTGAGCAATCAAGTAACATACTGTGTGCACACCCAGATTGACAAGCACACACTACAATGACTGAAAGTTTTTTCCCCCTTGAGAACTTAGAAGGCTTAATACTACATTTTTCCAAACATTTTAAAATATTGTTTCAAAGACAATTTGGGGAGTGGCCAAGATTCTCCAATAATCTTTTCTGGCATACTTTCATATTTGCTATGGAAAAAGACGATCTTTAACTTAAAAGAAAATACTAAAATTGTTTTAAAAGTAAATGCCCAGAATCAGGTTGGATGCATATAAATGTATGTACATACACACATATATGTACACACACATATACGTTCGTATTCATGTATAAGGAATTCTAAACATGATGATCTGGAAAAGAATGATTTATACCAGAGGTTCGTGTAGATATAGGGTTTTTAAGGCCGGTCCTGCTTTAACTTCACAAAGCTGTGAAGAAATGAAACAGATAGGAGCAGGAGGAGAGACACCCAACATTATGTGGCCTCAGCTCTAGTCTTTGAACAGGATGATAAGAGTTTCCTTCGCACCACATGCTGAATAGCTGTTCTGCATTCCTACCAGTCTGCAAGCTCTGGCCCCTCCTTTGAAACCGCCTGTCCTCTGGGGCGGGTTGTAAAACCGACCCAGTCTCTTCCACTCCACTCCAGCCAAGTTCGCTAGATACAAGCCTTAACTTTTGAACTGCAGAAAATGCCTTTGCCTTTTGCGAATCGGGGGCATGCTGTTAATCAGCAGGGTTAAAACACTATGGTTTTATGCAAAGAGGGGGAGGAGGAACGAGGGAGAAGCCAACCCACACATCCATCACCCTTTTAGAAGTAGGCGGAGTTTAAAGTTTCCCCAACTTCCAAGTTCCCACTTGACAGGCAATATTTCTGTGTAACTTCCAGCCCCACAAAACAGATGGTCCTTTGCCCGTCTCGAGCCCCAAGAGAACCCAAAACAAAGCTCCTGGCCACTCCGTGCCTCGCGGGATCCATAGGTGGTTAATTTCACGAGGCTGTCAGCCCAGGGCAGTTAGCAAAGAATGGAAGCTTAACTTATTCCAGAAGTTTTTCCTGCTACAGGAAAGTCCAGGGGACTGGAGCACAAAGGCCTGGGAAAGTTTCACTACGTTATTTTTCAACAACGTCTTCCGCCATCTGACAAACCACCATCCTAAGCCCCAGGTGTCCCGGGGAGGAGAGTTGAGACACACGTGTTCATCCACACAGCAGAGGGGCGACTCCAGCAGTCCCAGAGACAAACCTGGGAAGTTCCTTACGGGAACCCCCCACCCCCGCCTTGGTGGAAAGGAGCCCCTGGGTTAGAGATCCACTCATTGATCACTCAGTACCAAAGGGAAAGGTGATGGCCCAGACGTCGTGCCAAATGGGGATGCGCCACGGCAGCGAGCAGAGCCTTCCTTCCCAGCTGGGAGGGAGAGAGGAAGGAGCGGGGGACCGATCCGGGAGTCTCAAGACAGGCGGCCCACTCACCCTCACTGCCGTACTGTTTGCCATTGTTCGCGCCCATCCTGTCGCCGTCATGCCCGCCGTCTCCCCGGACACTGCATAGCTGGGCGCACCTCCTGCGCCTTGGGCCAGAGGAAAGCCTGTCCGACGGGACCGTTAGCTGCACATCGCCCCTCGCTCCGGGGCCGATCTCCGGCGGGGGGCGGCTCCTGGTCTCCGGAGGGAGGGAGGGGGCGCTCGGTCCCCTCCGGGCACCCTGATTGTGGCGGACCCGGCCAGCGACAGCCTCCTCCCCTCCTAGAATCCGCGCTCGGGGCCGGCGGGAGCAGAGTCGCCGAGAGCCCGC